TTTCCCATATATAAAATGAGAAAAAGAGTAATACTCCATGATGTGGTTGTAAGGGTAGAATGAGACAAGCTACACAAAGAAATTAGAACAATGACTGACAATACAGACTCAAGAATTTATATTAGTAGTAACAGTAGTTAGTATGGCAACCAATTTGCTACTAAAAATGTAAGAGCACAGGCTACCTCTGTGTCATACGGGAACAATACAGTCTCTGTGAACCAAAGCTCTTAGCCATTATGTATGCTACACCACCTCTTAATGCTATTACACAAAAATGTATACATCACTGCGTGGCTAGATGTTTGCCTATTTTTCTTCCTGTATCAATTTTCTCCCTTGCACAAACCTTGATGTAGATTTCAAGAAATTGCTTTGGAATTCTAGATTCTTTATCCTTGTCTTTGTTTCCCGGGAACACTTCTTATGGAGGATGTTTAAAGCTGTCCTTCTTTCAATGAAAAGGAAAAAGCTGTCAGTTGCTGCAACTTATTTAGATATGCACTGACTTTACCCACCTATGGTTATTCTCACTGAAACAGAAAATACGTGTAAACATAATTTTATTTTGTATAACTTTTATTCTTAGATTATATTACAATGTGTCGGTCTCAAGTATAACTACAATATAATTTATGACAAACTCAAACATTTTGAGCATTCATAGATCTACGAAATTTGTAAAGAATCCTATGTAAACAGCTTTATCATATTCATGGCTATTTATTTATTTTCATGAAGCAATTCTTGATTGTTTTCCTCAGGAAGATAATAACATAATAAACCACAGATATTTTTTAAAAACTGGTGGCCTTTATACATAGGTCCTAAACCCAGGCCAATTCCCTGGCCATCCTAATTTAGTTGGCCCTTCTCTCAGTACTTCTATTAACATTTCTCTGAAATAGCTATTTAGAACTGCTTTATTTATGTATGCATTGTATTTTTACTCTTTTTAATAAAGCTATCAAAATTCTATAAAATCATGCTAAATATTTGTGATGTTCAACAATCAGCATTTAAAAACAGCTCACAAGTCACCCAAATCTTTTGCAAACTAGGTAACTATCGAAATGCTAAAATTAGATTCTCTAATTTTCATTCAAAAGATTTGTGTTCAAACCTGTCTGGGGCATGGTGGCTCATGCCTGTAATCCAGCATGTTGGCAGGTCATTGCTGTAGGACCACTTGAAGCCAGGAGTTTGAGACTAGCCTGGGGCAACAGAGCAAGACCCCTTATCTACAAAAATTTAAATATTAGCCGGGCATGGTGGCATGCACCTGTAGTCCTAGCTACTTGGGAGGCTGAGGCAAGAGGGTTGCTTGAGCCCAGAGTTGAGGCTGCAGAGAGCTATGATCATGCCACTGCACTCTAGCCTGGGTGACAGAGCGAGACCTGGTCAGTTAAAAAAAATTTTTAGAAAACCTGTTTGCTTCCATTTTATTCTAAATTAAATTCTTCAGTGTAACTGCCATTCTGTATTGTTGGGTGTAATAAGTTCAGTGATTATAAAATTTAAATATTAATACGACAGTGCCTTCTGAAGGGTGATGCAATCAGTACAAACTGTAATCCACACGGAAAGAGAAGTCTAATTTTACTTCAAGGTTATACTTAATAGGCTCTTTCTTCCAAATATTGTTTTTAATTGATAAAAAGTCACAAGTAGACATTTCTGAAACAAACATAAATGTATATAAAACTTAACCATGTTATTTTTAAAAAAATCATAGTTCATGAAATAGGAAAAAGAACAACTTTATATATATTTTTGAAAAGCTAAGAAGAAATTGTGTTAACGAACCAGTTGCCCATATTTTTTATTTTACATAAAAACAAGGCAATGTAAAAACATTAATAGAAAATTACACACAAACCTGTCAAACATCTTTTCATACTATATTATATAAGTATTCATAATGCAGTTAACTTGTGAGTTTGAAATAATGATAGATTGAATTCAAATTTAAAGTGATGTTAAATTCTTAATTGAATGTATTAAAAAATTTGATGAATGTAATATATTTTTTGTAGGTCCCTACTTAAATTATCAAAACCTATTTCCAACAGGCGTGGCAGGTATGGGATGCAATGATCTATATAGTCTCGGAAAACACTGCATGCTGTCTTTCATATTAAATTAAAAAGTGGTTCAAATAACCTAAGATGAATGAACCTAAGATGGTATAAAGAATCTTTAGCCCTAGATATAGTTTTATACGTACGTTAGAACAAATGTCTCAAAGTCATAACGGATGTTGTAAAATATATCACAATTTAAAAACATTCTAGCCTTCCTGTCTCATTCTTTAACCATAACTGTTTGTTTCTATAAGTACATTTAAATCCTTTCTTTTTCAATTTTCAGAACAACAAAAATATGTACTTTAAACATTTATTATATAAATGTAATTTATTATTTTTTAAATATGAAAAGCAAATTAGTGAAAGATGTTTTATATATTCGCTTCAAAACCTCCCACAAAAATCTTCTAAATAAAACTATGTTCTATCTATGTAGCTCAACTTTTGCCTGTGCATGAATGACTTTATAGAAGAAAGATCTCATATTCCTGAAATAAACTCATGAAAAAAAGCATTACGGTTATTTCTTTTCAAAGTACTATTAATAGGTGTTTTCAAAAAGCTAGATGTATACAGCTAATGCAAAATGAATATGTGCTTGATAAATTAGAAGCCCATGGTACTGTGTTGATTGAGGCAAAATATATTTCATATAATAGAATTTTAAGGAGAAGGTGACATCTTCCTCATTGTATACATTGAAGTATGTAGGTCCAAAAGATTACTTCCATAATTTAGGAAAGTAAGTTGGTGGCAAGAGAGCAAGTTGGCAAGAATCCCTATTTCAATGCTTTTTTATTCATACTAAACACATATATCTGTGTTGAAAGTCTGTCATATTATATGACTTGAAAGCTTGCCAAACACAGGATTGTATACAAGTGATGCAATAAATACTGTGCCAAGGTTATTATCTGCTCAAACATATACTATGGTCAAACAACTAACTGCATATCAGGAAGGATTTCATCAACTTTGCTTACAGCTAAAGGATGACTAAACAATACCGCATGAGAAAGCAGGAAAATTTGACAAAAGTTTAAGAGACTATTATCAGTATTTTGGGCAGCACAGCCCAATGTTAGGCTATATAAGTAATAGCAAATAGAACTTCCGTCAATTACTTTTTTTCTCAGTTATCTTTATTTTTTGAGGAGTGTAATATGTACTTAGAATAATTTTTCAAGTTCTGTGGTTATTCTATGAACAAAGAGGGATATGAAAGAAGAAAGGCTATGAAACACAATACTCTAAAGGTAAGTATTATCCTTGTTGGCATGTGAGTCAAGATGAATGAAAAGCATTTGTAGAAACGAATAGCCTACATATATTTTTAATCCCATGGCATTTTATAGGCACATACAAATTGGTTCTAATGCAATGTAGAATAAATTTAAGCACCTCAATATATAGAATAACCTCTGTACATTGCTAAAAAGTCAAGCTCCCTAATAATGCATTTTAACTAAACATTCATTACTAATGTTCATTACTTCTATCAAGCATCTCATTGCAAAGCCAAGGCAAAATACTTTTGTTGATTTTCAAATAATAGATAAATAATAGATTTTTCTGTGTGTGTGTGTGTGTTGTTTATTTACATGGGAAATATGAATAATTACAATCCTGTGAAAAGATGACAAGGCAGATGTAAAAGTTTTCTATGTGGTCTTCTGATTTATTAAAAACCAAAAAACTGAATCACCTTTGTTTACTATAATCAACAATTCCTACAGAGTTCTCTTACGATTCTTACAGAATCATCAGTGCAAAAATAACCATCTGCTAACGCTGCCCACCTTTCTTAGGAAATCAGGGTTAGTGACTGCACTGCCTTTGAGAATATTTTGATAAAAAGGATTTTGGCATAGACCTCCTCAAAAGAGTTTTATTAACACAAATAAATCACTTTCACAGGCTGTAAACAATATATCAAAAATGAAGTTCTATTTTTTGCTTTCCTTGCTGTCTTTCCCTTTGTCTTCCTTTTCTGTTCTGTCTTGTTCATATTTCTCTTTGTCTGGCTTTGTTACACTATCATATGAAGGTGGAGAGGTGGTGGATGAAGTGGCATCTGTTTTTTCTGGACTTGAGTTCTCATTAACGTTATCAAAAACCATATCTTTTTTATTGAGTAAATCATCATCTCTGTCTCCATCTTTTATGTATATACTTGATATATTTTTGACATTTTGCCTTAAGCGGTAACGTCTATAAGCACGTTGAATGACAGTAGCAGACACATCCTCTTGTTTCCGTTTCAGTGTGGTTGTGATGGGTTCATAGGAAACTTTGGAAGGATTTGCAGACATGAACCTTTCTTCCATCTGTGAACGAAGAGAATCCATCTCCCCACTCTCACCCAAAACACGCTTTGTAAAAGCAAATAAGATGTCAAGACAATGGATCCGGTCACCACTGACCATGGGCAGATCCATGGCAATGAGTTGGACTTTGTTGGGTTTTGCTATGAGAAGAGGAGGATCCAGGGCAGCTGCAAAATCAGAGAGCTTGTTATATTCTATAAACTGAGTTGCATCTGGATCAAACTTCTCCCAAACTTCATAGAACATCTCAAAGTCATCCTCACTCAGAGGTTCAGTACTTTCTTCAGTGGCAACACTAAAATTCTCCAGTATGACTGCAATGTACATGTTCACCACAACCAGGAAGGAAATGATGATATAACTAACAAAGTAGAATATTCCAACAGATGGGTTACCACAGTCTCCTTCAACTGAACTTCCAGGATGAACTTTTTTTGGATCACAGTCAGGTGGCTTACTGTTAAGAATAGGTGCTAGCAATCCATCCCAGCCAGCAGAGGTTGTAATTTGGAACAGGCAAATCATACTGTTGCCAAAGGTCTCAAAATTGAACATGTCATTAATTCCATCTTCCTTTTTAACATAGGCAAAGTTGGACATCCCAAAGATGGCGTAGATGAACATGACCAGGAAAAGCAAGAGGCCGATGTTAAACAATGCAGGAAGGGACATCATCAAAGCAAAGAGCAGTGTGCGGATCCCTTTTGCTCCTTTGACTAGACGTAAGATTCGGCCAATCCTGGCAAGACGGATCACTCGGAACAGGGTAGGGGACACAAAATATGTTTCAATCAAATCAGCTAGAAACATACCTATGTGTGGAGGAAAATAATAGAAATAAAATATCTAAATATCTATGCTACATAAAATGATGACTCTAAACAGTTTTATCTGTCAACTCGTTTCTTATGAATTCAAGACAGTTATTTTATACTGAATGCAATTACTTAAAAAAGGATTAAGCAATTCCAAAGAAAAATGACTGACATTACCATTCTGACATTTTCTCCTTTTTACTAAGTTCATGGGCCATTTTCTTCCTCCATAATAGTGTTTTAAATTTTAAGAATAATACCTACTCACATAGAAAATTCAACCAATACCATTAAATGCTAAAAGAAAATATAAACCACCTGAAATGTCAACAACAATAACTATTATCAATATTTTTTTGAGTATCACTTCAGACATTTTTCTGTGCAAGCATATGTACACACACAAACAAATGTATTCATGTTATATAAGCTTTTTTTGTAGCCTATTTTTTATTTATTTTTCAAGACAGGGTCTTGCTCTATCACCAAAGTTGGAGTGCAGTGGCGTGATCTTGGCTCACTGCAATCTCTGCATCCCAAGATCAAGTGATTCTCCAGCCTCAGCCTCCAGAGTAGCTGGGACTGCAGGCATGCGCCACCACACCTGGTTAATTTTTATATTTTTGGTAGGGACGGGTTTCACCATGTTGGCCAGGCTGGTCTCAAACTTCTGACTTCAAATGATTTCACCCACCTCGGCCTCCCAATGTGTTGGGATTATAGGCATGAGCCATGGTTCCCAGCCTGTAACCTATTTTAATTTATTTATGAGTCATGGAGATAGTTTCATAAAAATGACAACAAAATAACTTATTATAGTGGTATAATGCTCTCTTAAAATAACCACAGATTGAAGACTAGCACTTATACTGTTTCCATTTTTGTTACTGAAATGAATATCTAAATAGGTATGTTCTCCTAATTGCATGAGTACGTTTTAATAATATATTAACAGAACTTGTTTCAACAGCATATATACAGTTATATAAATACATACATACTATGTATACACGCATACCATATATATATATACACATGCTATATATATACATAATATATACTATATATAGTATTTATGTGTATATATAAATACACTATATATAGCTGAACCTATCTCCAGAAAGCCTGTACTAAATAACATTTCTAATGGCAGTATATGAATGTGCTCATACCTTACATGTTCACCAGTATTGAGTACTACCATTCTTCTTTATAATTTTTAACCAAAAAATGGTCATGACATTTGAAAACATCTACTATTGTAATTTATTTGCATTTTTTGTGAAAATAATCCACAATTTGTCTTGTATTTTGTCATTTTGTATCCTTATTGGTTGTTTTTAACTTCTGTTTTTGGCTTACTTGGTATTTGCCCATGTGTCTATTGGGATTTTTACTATATTCTTATTAATTTATAAGAACAATTTTCTATTTAAAGTATTGATCCTTTCTCAGCCTTAACTGTTACATAAACATTTCCCCTATTTTTTGTCTTTCAACCTTTTATTTATGATGATTTTTTCCTCAAAGAATATTTTGCTTTTTTGTGCAGTCATTTCTTCTTCATTTTTTTTTTTAGCTTTACAAATTTGTGTTATGAATAGAAAGGACTATAAGAGTATATGGTTGTATGTCTATTTCCACATATTTCCTACTAGAATCTCTTTTTTTAACTATAGACTTTGATTCATGTGATCTGTTCACTCAGTAAATTGGTAATTATACATTAAAGTTTAATTTGGACTCTCTCTTCAAACTCATTGAGCTTTTGTATTTGAACAGTTTTACTTAACATCAATATTATAAGTCTTAATATTTTGCGGAATAAGCCACCTCTTATCACCCTAATTTTATTCTGATGAATTTAGAATCATTTAGACTTACATTGTTATTGTCAATTTATTACCCCCACTGCATAAAAAGACTCATTGATATTTTCCTTGAACTTGTAGATTAATAAATAAAAAAGTCTTAATTACAATGATAGAAGCTTATCTAAGTACATGATAATCCTTTCAATTATTTCAGCTTTCTTTTATATCCTAAAGTTTTCTTCAGAAGTCTCATATGATAAAGTTATTGTTAGATAATTTACTTTATTTTTATTGCAATTGTGAATCAGATTTTCTATTTTTTTCATGTATAAGATTATTAGTGTTGGCACATGTAATTTAAAATTTGTACCTTTTCAACTCTAATTGAATTTATTTTTAGTTGATTCTCTTTCATTATATGAAGAAGGTCATTCATTATATGAAGAAGTTCTTTCATTATATGAAGAAGGTCATTATATTAAGATAAGGATCGTTTGCTCCATTGTTTGGATATATGTACCTCTTTGTTTTCTTATCTAATTGCATTGGCCAACACTATTAAAAACAGGGATGATACAGGGACACCTTTTTTTCCCTGACTTAATGGGAATGCTTTCAGAATTATTATTGTTAGTTTGAAATTTTCATCTAAATTTTAATTGATTTTCCTATATCAATTTTGGTATGACTTCTGGTGATAATATCCTTTTCCAAAAATATTGATTTTAAATGCTTATTCTGTTCTGTGGCACTCAGTTTTATGAGTCTAAGTTATGCAACCTTTAACCTTTTCAGACTGATAACCTGTTGATTAAGTTTGTAGTAAATAATCTCTATAATCTCTATTAAAAGTTTATAATTCTAAAAAGAAATACAATACTAAAATACTTTGCAAGATATGTGAAAATAATGAAAAAAATCCCAAGAAGATAGAAAAACAGCCATGATAATGAATATGTAGGAAGTATAAAATCATGTGCTGTTATTCACAGACATGACCATGGCTGGTTGAGGAATGATTCGCATTTTATACACTTGTGAAGTATTAAGCCTTAAAAAATAAAACTGGCATTTCTAGAGACTTTAACTTCACTTTAAATTCTGGAAGAATTTTCAGAAATTCACAGATATTCTGGCTATTGATATTATCATTAATCAAATGACAAGTCTCACATGTGCTAAAACCAGAAGTGATTTCAGATTCAACACTGGTTTTTCCAAGACACAGCTATATACACAGCTATATATAAACATGGTAACTAGCTTTGCAAAGGTAATATTGGAAAGTAAATGTCAACAAGTATAATTTCCTTCTAACAGATAGAAATATTTGGCTTTGGGGCCTGTAGCGTAAACCCAGAAACACTGTAGTATGAGAGACACAGATATTTTTATTTTGCTTTTTAGGATTTTTTCATTCTTTCATTATACTGACTTACTCAAGAATAAATCTGCATTCAAGAATTCAGAATATACTTCCTTGAGCATAAGTGAAGTTTAGCTTTACTCAAAAAATAAAATCTGAATAATAAATATTCTTACCTACAATGGAGATAATCACAACCACAAAATCAAAAATATTCCATCCTATAGTGAAGTAGTAGTATCTGAGGGAGATCAGTTTTAGCACACATTCTCCAGTGAAAAGGATTATAAAAACCACATTTATCCAATATAAAACGTCAGTCATATATAGACTTTGACCCTCCTTTTCTACCATCATGGTTACCATGTTGAGACAGATAAGAACCATGATACTGATATCAAATGCTTGATTTGTCACTAGGTCAAATATACATCCTTGGATTTTGTTCTGCAAAGAAACGAGAATAATATTGAATGCAGAGTAAATTTTTCAAGTAGTATCTAGAAATTAAAGATGTGCATTAAAAATGAATTAGAAATAATTTGAAAATCTATATGCTAAAGATACATATTTTTTTTTACCCCTGGACGAGGAATTGGCTTTTGTGGCTTCTTGGACCCCAGCTTTTTCATTGCATTATAGTATTTCTTCTGTTCTTCTGTCATAAAGATGTCTTGACCTCCAAGGTAAAGAAACAAAAAAGAAATGTAGTTAAAACCAGAATCATTGTCTAGATCTTTCTACAGATCACTAAGATAGGTTAAAATGTGTTAATATAGAAATAAAATGTATTTTATTGTGTTCATGGTAGCTATACATAAACTATGTCTTAAATAATTATATATGTGCAGAAACGTGGGTCTCCAAACACAGCTAAATGTACATATATAAAATATTTGTATTACATATAACAAGGATTGGCTCAATTTTCTTTTGGTGTGCTAATCAGTGTTGTTTTAAACTATGTACTTGTACATTTTTTATCTGCTAGCTGTCTTACCATGAATTTTATTGCTAAGAAAAGTTATAAGAATTAAAGGTAATGAATATCTTCTTTGATGATTTGGCTAATATTCAGAACTTTGATAAAGAATAGGGAGCCAAATCATGAGTGAACTCCCATTCACAATTACTACAAAGAGAATAAAATACCTAGGAATCCAACTTACAAGGGATGTGAAGGACCTCTTCAAGGAGAACTACAAACTACTGCTCAACAAAATTTTGCAATCTATCCATCGACCAAAGGGCTAACTATCCAGAATCCACAAAGGAACTTAAACAAATTTACAAGAAAAACAAAAAAAAAAACAAACAACTCCCAAAAGTGGGCAAAGCGATTGACAGCACTTCTCAAAAGAACTGCATTTACAGCCAGACAGAGCCTATGAAAAAATGTTCATCCATGCACTGGTCGGTCAGAGAAAGACAAATCAAAACCACATCAATGAATACCATCTCACGCCAATTAGAATGGCAATCACTTAAAGTCAGAAACAACAGATGCTGGGAGAGGATGTGGAGAAATAGGAACACTTTTACACTGTTGGTGAGAGTGTAAATTAGTTCAATCATTGTGGAAGACAGTGTGGCGATCCCTCAAGGATCTAGAATTAGTAATACTATTGTGACCCAGCATCTCATTACGGATAATATACCAAGGTTATAATCATGCTACTATAAGACACACACACACTTATGTTTATTGCAGGCACTATTACACAATAGCAAAGACTTGGAACCAACCCAAATGTCCATCAATAAAGACTGATAAAGACAAATGTGGCATATATACACCATGGAATACTATGCAGCCATAAAAAATGATGAGTTCATGTCCTTTGCAGGGACATGAATGAAGCTGGAAA